CCTGGACCTTCGCAGCATGGTCAGCTCAGCTACGACATGCGGTTGTCAGCAACCCCTATCATGGAAATGCTTCGAGATGTTTTGCAGTTATAGCAAGAATTGGACCAAAAAAACACCATAGTTGGTGGCCCTGACCTTTGCAGTAGATGCCATTGGCATGGGGGCCAGTCTGGAAACACCCGCTGCAACAAAGGAAGTTCAATGCCATTCTTGCGAAGCTTGCGTAGCTGTGCACATAACTGCAATATTTGGGGGGTCCCGGATTTTGCAATTGTTGCAATTATTGGAATTAGTCGGCCCGGCTTTGAGGCCAAAGCTGGGATCAATTAATTATTGCAATTATTGCAATTATTGCAATAATTGCAATTATTGCAATTATTGGAATTGAATTCCAACAATTGCAATAATTGAAATAATTTCAGGTCCCGGATTTTGCAATTATTGCAATTATTGGAATTGAGTTCCAATAATTGCAATAATCGGAGGTCCCGGATTTTGCAATTCCTGGAAAGTCCCACACGTGCCTCGCCCGTGCTTCCCCCACACTTAAACCAAAAGACACACACAGACATACAGACACACATACATTCGCAAAGGGCTCTTACACCCGCAAACTGGGTTTCTGAATCAGTAGACCCGGAAAGTCCCACTGCCTCACCCGTGCTTCCCCCACACTTAAACCAAAACACATACAGACACACACACACATGCGCAAAGGGCACCAAAGCTGTCTTACACCCGCAAGTGCGCAGAAAGGGCAAAAATGTCGCCACTGCACGCGCAAGCTGTCTTGCACCCATAGAAGACGCCCGTTGCACCTGTCCCGCCCTCGAACGTTGTTGTACAGTTGAAGGCCAGCAGAGGGCACTGGCTGGTATCCATTGACTGCTTACCAACAAAAGCCGGCATCAGTGACATAATGATTTGTATCCAATAATTGCAATAATTTCAGGTCCCGGATTTTGCAATTATTGCAATTATTGGAATTCAATTCCAATAATTGCAATAATTGCAATTATTGGAGGCCCCGGATTTTGCAATTATTGCAATTATTGGAATTGAATTCCAATAATTGCAATAATTGCAATAATTTCAGGTCCCGGATTTTGCAATTATTGCAATTATTGGAATTAAATTCCAATAATTGCAATAATTGCAATATTCGGAGGTCCCGGATTTTGCAATTATTGCAATTATTGGAATTAGTCGGCCCGGCTTTGAGGCCAAACCTGGGATCAATTAATTATTGCAATTATTGCAGTTATTGCAATTATTGCAATTATTGCAATTATTGGAATTGAATTCCAATAATTGCAATAATTGCAATATTCGGAGGTCCCGGATTTTGCAATTATTGCAATTATTGGAATTCAATTCCAATAATTGCAGTAATTGCAATAATTTCAGGTCCCGGATTTTGCAATTATTGCAATTATTGGAATTGAATTTCAATAATTGCAATAGTTGCAATATTCGGAGGTCCCGGATTTTGCATTTATTGCAATTATTGGAATTATTTGAGGCCAAATCTGGGATCAATTATTGCAATTATTGCAATTATTGCAATTAATGGAATTGAATTCCAACAATTGCAATAATTGCAATAATTTCAGGTCCCGGATTTTGCAATTATTGCAATTATTGGAATTCAATTCCAATAATTGCAATAATTGCAATAATTGGAGGTCCCGGATTTTGCAATTATTGCAATTATTGGAATTCAATTCCAATAATTGCAATAATTGCAATAATTGCAATATTCGGAGGCCCCGGATTTTGCAATTATTGCAATTATTGGAATTGAATTCCAATAATTGCAATAATTGCAATCATTTCAGGTCCCGGATTTTGCAATTATTGCAATTATTGAAATTGAATTCCAATAATTGCAATAATTGCAATATTCGGAGGTCCCGGATTTTGCAATTATTGCAATTATTGGAATTAGTTGGCCCGGCTTTGAGGCCAAATCTGGGATCAATTAATTATTGCAATTATTGCAATTATTGCAATATATTGGAATTCAATTCCAATAATTGCAATAATTGCAAAATCCGGGACCTGCGAATATTGCAATTATTGCAATTATTGGAATTGAATTCCAATAATTGCAATAATTGCAAAATCCGGGACCTGAAATTATTGCAATTATTGCAATTATTGGAATTCAATTCCAATAATTGCAATAATTGCAAAATCCGGAATTATTGCAATTATTGGAATTGAATTCCAATAATTGCAATAATTGCAAAATCCGGGACCTGAAATTATTGCAATTATTGCAATTATTGGAATTCAATTCCAATACTTGCAAAAATTGCAAAATCCGGGACCTGAAATTATTGCAATTATTGCAATTATTGGAATTCAATTCCAATAATTGCAAGAATTGCAACATCCGGGACCTGAAATTCTTGCAATTATTTCAATTATTGGAATTGAATTCCAATAATTGCAATAATTGCAAAATCCGGGACCTCCGAATATTGCAATTATTGCAATTATTGGAATTCAATTCCAATAATTGCAAGAATTGCAAGAATTGCAAGAATTGCAATAATTGCAATAACTAACTGATGCCAGATTTGGCCTCAAAGCCGGGCCGAATAATTCCAATAATTGCAAAATCCGGGACCTCCGAATATTGCAACTATTGCAAGTATTGAAATTCAATTCCAATAATTGCACTAATTGCAAAATCCGGGACCTGAAATTATTGCAATTATTGTAATTATTGGAATTCAATTCCAATAATTGCAATAATTGCAAAATCCGGGACCTGAAATTATTGCAATTATTGGAATTCAATTCCAATAATTGCAATAATTGCAATAATTGCAATAATTGCAATAATTGCAATAATTAATTGATCCCAGATTTGGCCTCAAAGCCGGTCCGACTAATTCCAATAATTGCAAAATCCGGGACCTGAAATTATTGCAATTATTGCAATGATTGGAATTCAATTCCAATAATTGCAATAATTGCAAAATCCGGGACCTGAAATTATTGCAATTATTGGAATTGTTGGAATTGGCAAAATCCAGGACCTAAATTATTGCAATTATTGGGAATTCAATTCCAATAATTGCAAAAACCTGAAATGCAAAATTGGAATTGTTGGAATTCAATTCCAATAATTGCAATAATTGCAAAATCCGGGACCTGAAATTATTGCAATTATTGGAATTCAATTCCAATAATTGCAATAATTGCAATAATTGCAATAATTGCAATAATTGCAATAATTGCAATAATTAATTGATCCCAGATTTGGCCTCAAAGCCGGTCCGACTAATTCCAATAATTGCAAAATCCAGGACCTGAAATTATTGCAATTATTGCAATGATTGGAATTCAATTCCAATAATTGCAATAATTGCAAAATCCGGGACCTGAAATTATTGCAATTATTGGAATTGTTGGAATTCAATTCCAATAATTACAATAATTGCAAAATCATTATAATTTCACTTCAACAATTCACTCAAAGCTGGAGCCAGCCTGAACGACACACAGGGTATGATCTTCCCTCTTACCCCCCCCCCCCCGCCCGGCAAGTGCCTGATGTTGGTTCCTTCCTAGAGGGCCCTTCCTCCAACGAATGCGCGTGTTCAACCCAACACGGCGATTCGCTGTTGAGAAATGAAACAGGCTGCATGTTGAGTAGTCACTTTGCAACTTTGCACAGGCCGGCTTTTTTGTCAAGGTCATGCCCGAAGCGATCAACCCAATCTCTAACTTTTGGGCAAAACACCTAATCCAACGCAGCCATTTTTAGCCTGAGCTGCGACCTCAACCTTCATTGACAAGTTTTGTAGGTGGTTGTACTACTTGGGCTTATAGAAAGGTCTACACAAACCTTGGTAACAGTTTGGTAGAGCCACTTTCCAATAGGTTTCCATCATGGAAAGGACGAGCGGCTCCGGGTTTGTACAAAGCTACAATGTTCGTGTAGTAGCTGTTGGCTCGTCCAGATAAACGAGTCTTTGCCTCTTCCTATTTCGATTAAAGAGTCGCTCTTTTGCTCTTGGCGTTAGTGAGGATTTGTTGGGTAGAAACATTCCAAAGGGGTCTGGTTTTGGGTCACATTGAAGGTTCTGCAGAAATAATGCCCCAGATAGCTGAATGCGATGGGGGTTCGAACTTCTATTAAAGAATTGAAAGCGTCACGGCTGGGTGCTATCATAGCGGGCATGCAGTTTGGAGTGCTGGTGCAGGTGCTGTTTGCGGGTGCCGTTTGAGGTCGTGGTGGCGACGCCAGCGCATTCTTGCAAGATTGGGCATACAGCTTGGGGTTGCGCAGGCGCAGGTGCTGCTTGGAGGTGCTGTTTGAAATGCTGGTGCCGGCGTGGGCGCATGTTTGCGAGATTGACAGCAGGATGCCAGGACGGATGATGTTGTGGGCAGCAGGCTGTCAACATCATCATGCTGCTGCTGAACTCGTTGATTCGATTAGGGCGTCGGCTGTGCGTTTATTTGGCGGGATAGGTTGGTATTATGATGCAGCTGGGACCATTGACGTGTTATGATGTCGCGTTATGATTCGGAGCCGTGGTAGAACCATGATGTTGTCAACATCAGAACTATTATGCGGAACTCGTCACCATGTTGGGTGATGGTTCGTTGCGTGAAACCATCATGATGTTGACATCATCATGGTTCTGTCCGCATCATAATCATGTTGTCAGCATCACCAAAGTGCTTTGGAACTCGCTGGGGCATTGTAATTATCTGCGTTAAATGTTGCGCGTGATGGTTTGTTGCCGCTGTCTGAACATGGTGCTGTCAGTATCAGCATGATGCTGCTGAACTCATTGGGCCGTCGTTTGTGCTAACTTTTGGCGCTTCCCGGTTGGTACCATCCTGATGCGGCCAACATCATTACGCTGCTGCGTCATGGTTCGTGGCTGTGGTTGCTAATTATTTGGTGTCTGCGTCGGTGTATTTGTTTGTTTTTGTCGGGGGGTTGAATTCTCCGCAGCATGGTTTTCGGAAAGGCAAACCATCTCGGCTACGGACTCCGTCAAGGGCCTGAGCCTGCTTTCGAAGGCCCAGGGTTCAGCCGATTCCTTCCGTTACCTTCTGGTTTTCTGCGGCGGTGTATCTATTTCAAAGGTTTCCCACACGGTTGCCCCAGCCTCAAAATAGCGTTTGGGTGGAACAAATACGACTAAGTGCCTGCGGAGGGCCGAGTGTGATGTATGTATGGTTGTAGCAGACGTCAAAGGTTCACCTCGACCCTGGGCGATACCCCTCAAGATAAAACCCAAACTAATCGTTTTTCTCCGTTTCAAAAAATCCACCCCTTTAGTACATGATTGTCCTGGCCAAATCCAAAAGTCACACTGGCCCCTTCTTTTTGACTGACCCAATTCCAAACCAATTCTAGACCTCTGACAGCCCGTATCAGGGCGTGCTTTCAGCACTTCCCTTCTGCGCAACTGCTACCCAACAAAATCACAATGTGTCTACAATGCAATTTCTATTTTTTCAGTGGCCAAATATGTTTTTCCAATAGTTGTTTTGGTTGGGGGAGTTGAAACAGGGGGAAGGGTTTGGGCTGGTGGAAGCGTATCCTTTCTTGGGTACTTGGATTATAAATTCGGAGAGCCGCCAGAAAGTTTCTTGGAACACTTCCAAGAAACTCCAGTTCATAAACAAAGTACAAGCAGTCATCGCCAAATAGGTGGCGCGTGTCATTTGCATTTGCATGGGGTCCCTAGCTTTGGGGAGAGCATCTTTCTCCATCGGCTGACGCGTGTGGAGGCGGAAGAGGCGTGGACTTCATTCAAGGCCCAGATGGAGGATTTCCTCAGCCTCACGCCACCTGGGTAAAATCCAGCACAGGAGCCATGACATACAATTTAGTGGCTACGAGCTGCTCCGAATAAGGATCTCCGTGCAGTGTTGTGTGGAAATGTTGTGAACTCTTTCCTTGCTTTCCCCAAATTGCAGCCCCTGCGTCAGGGGCTTTGAAGCGACCCTGGAAGGGCAAACAAGTCGCAGAGTGTGTCAACTTTCGCCAACAAAGCTTGTGAACAAGATTGGAACAGGGATCAGGCGGTCTTGGCGATTCTTACATTCGCCGTTTCCCTGGGAGAAACGAAACTGGACCCTTCGACCAGGGCCCCTTTAAGGGAGGGTTTATTCGTAACTAACCTGTTGCTGAGGGTGGCATGCAGGGCCGCCAGTCAGGGTGTACATAGTTTCCTTGAGATGTTGTCAGTAGTGTTAGTAGTGGCAGTAGTGGCTTGCCAGAACAACTCCGCACGCCGCGATGCCTGTCGGGTCCTTGTCACACTCATCCTACCCCTGTGCGCGGGTGAAACTGCTCTGGTTTAGCACTGGCTGTACTCTCGGAGATCGTAACGCAGGCTGTGTTATCGGCGGTTGTGCGATTTTCCTGCTGTACCTGTGAAACAGGCAAAACAGAGACCGACCGAAGAAGAGGAAGATGCTTGCTTGCTATGAATGCATCTCCTATTCTTTCAATGGTTTGTGATTGCCATTTGTATTTGGCACGGATCTTGTTAAGTGCCTCAATTGAAGGGCGCGTCTTGTGCAGCCTGAGACAGGCTGTTGGGTGCCGGGCTGCCTCAGGCCCAACGAGCAACGTCTCAAAGAAGTCATTGACCTCTCGGACAACGCCATTGCAGCCATGGGAAATGTGCACGAGCCGCTTGCATCGAGCTCACTGATGGGGCCCAAAGAGCTCACCCATGAAGGCCCCCTTGAAAGTTTCCTTATTGATAGATGGCCATAGTAGTTTAGTAATTTGCTGAGACCTGGGCAGATTGATTTGCAACCGGACACATCCACTTTGTCGCCTGGTGAATTAACGTTACAACAAGTATTCACAGATGGAATTCGGCCTGGTCGGGGAGTCCTAGTAGTTATCTCTGAGATGTTTCCACTAGCCCTATATGGAAATGGGCTTTGTTCACCAATTTTCCCCTGAAGCCTTGTGGATAGTGATGATAGTGGTTGGGGGGGGGGGTGAGAAGGAGCGAACTCTGATTGTGAATGTCTTGTAGGTGAAACAATCGGCTTCATGATGGAGAAAAGTTCAACACCACATCAGGTAAATGTTTGGATCCCTCCAGGTAGGTCCCCGCGTTCCCCATGTCATTCAAAACTTCAGGTAGGGGGTTTTGGAGCAATGGGTAAATAGTTCAATGTAGCACTTTTATGGGGATATACTGCCTGACACACTTGTGTTTGGTTGTTGTTATACATCTATAGTATATTTTAATATCCTATGTTATTGTATTTTGAGTCATTCCATATTATCGTACATTACAAATGTATACATCTACAGCTACAACTTTACAATTATATATATATATATATATATATTAAACAATATATGCATATGGTGGCCTCCATTCCTCAAAAGTCCATACCAGAAGTTTTGATGGGCACCCAGGAAGCTGCCGAGAGTTGGGCCAAAACAAAAGCGCCAGCCAGGGGCTAGCCATGCGAGGGGACTGCCAGCCATGTTATTACATGTTTCCCTAAACGCGTGCTTGCCCACAGCTGAGTCACTGCCAACATGATTGGTGTTTGTTTTTGATTGGTTTCGGTTTTTCCCAGGCCCTTGGGAAACAAGTGGACTGTCAAAATGTGGCCCCTGGACCCCGGTGCGGTCGTGTGCTGCCTGTTGGGGGGAACAATTTCTGCAATGGGCTTGAGTAGAAACAAGGAATGTAATAAATCCAGCTCGTGGATTTTGCTTTTTGAACCCTCCAAGGGCGTGAGATCCGTGAGGTACTTCTCCACGGCCACACGCACCACTACGCTCATGCCGGTGGAGGTCCTGACACCTGTGCCCTTCACGGGCCGTGGGCTCAGCGCGGTCTCCTTTGATTGCCAGGACTAGGCTCCCAGACGGTACCTCCACTCTGCGTAGCATTTTTCTTGATTGAACATATACTGCCACAAAAGGTGTGCGCATCTTCCTTCCGCACGCAACAAGGCTCTGATTTTTGCTTCCCAGTTTTCCATGCACATCCACCGGGCTGCTGAGAACTTGCGCTACGGCCAAAGACATGGAAGTGCACCTGCCGCGTTGGGACATCCCTGGGAAGAACTGAATCGCATGTTGTTGGTGTGAGGCAACGTTTTTGCATTCTTGCCTCTTGGGCATCCCGTCCTTTCCCTAGAAGCATACGCAATCACTTAATTTTCGACGGCTAAGTGTGGTCAAGTTCTTTACTTGCCCATAGCGAAATTAGCGAATATACTAGACTTTACAGGTTTGCTTCGAGCCATGACGGCCGAAGCAGGAAGTTTGGTTTCTTCGGTTTCCCTGAGGGCTGCCAGTTGTCCACCCTTCCAAAATGATTCGCGACGGTTAAATTCCTTCTGTCCCGTGATTCCTTGGAGGCGGGAACGCCCTTTAAATTCTGCCCAAAAAACATAAGCCCCTCATAAACCCCTTTTACCTTGAGAAACTGGACGTAACGCCGGGTGCCCCTTCCCCGAGTTCGCTCGAGGCATCTGGGCGGCTGGGCGCACCTTCCTTGTCGCAGTGAAGCTGGCCGAGGCGCTGATCAACGAGGACCAGCCCCATGGACGAAGCCAAAATCTCGTGGCTGATAGAGCCCCTGAAGTACCTCCGATGGTTTTGAGCTTGGGGTGTTAGGAACCCCTGGACACTTTGCCCTTGAGTTGGACTAGCAAGAAGCTATTTTGGGACTGGTTTGGGCCAGTCCACTCGATTGGAAGTGAGTATCGGCAGGCATAAACAATTCCACTCCACCGGATGTGAGCCCAGCAAGCGCGTTAAATTTCTGATTGATGCCTACCATCGAGGAGGCCCAATGGGATAGTAAAGGTCGGGGATCAAACCGCTGGAGGTTTGGGTTGGAACCGTCCCCCAGCAATCTGCAGATTCAATCATTTTTCCGAAATTGTCCAGTTCCGCCAAGTTGGAGGCCATCCTCCTTGAGGCGGGACTAGACCAACGTAATGAACTCCGGGAGCCGAGACAGGGGGAAGTAGGAATTGTGTGGATACGAAAAACGAGGAGTGAAGGAGTATGAGGTTTAGCGTGCAGGTCAGTGGCAGGGACAAGTTCAAGAACTAGACGAGTGAACCCGGAAGGACAGGGCAGCTCGCACTTGCGAATCTGAGCAGGCTTATTTACTTGGTTGAGGACCCTGCAAGTCGCATCTGACTGACATGATCTACTCAACAAAGCCGAGGCAGACACGAAACTGATGCGGGTAATGTTGTATTGAGGCTGTGTCTATGATGAGTGCTCGTATCCATCAACCAGCCCATGACGCGCAAGATCCCTCTTCAAACTTGAACCGTTCCTGTCATCGATGCAGGAGTGGAACCTAGCGGGGAAAATCGCTTCGGAGAGCAACCGTGCGTACCGCAAGACACTGAAATAGCAGTGCAACGAGACGACTCTTTGCGCAATGGACACAGAGGGTTCGCCCAGGACCCAGAGATAAAAGCAAGCAAACGCGAGTCTTTTGACCCCGGCGCTCGATCCACGCAACGGCCGGCAGATCCCAGCAACAGGTGGCAACATCTACGAGTTGTTCGACCAGGACACAGGATCGAGACAAATGCACAAAAACAACACAAGTTCTTAAACTTTGACACGCACCCCCATGACGCAGGTGCTTTACTTTGGTCTACCTACACAGAGTTTGGAGTTATTGTGGACTTTGCAGATTGTGGAATGTCCGAGGGTGATCCTTCCGGGATATGAGCTAAAGCACGACATCTTCGACGACCAATGCGATGGCGGCAAGGGCTCTGACATCGCTGCTTTGCGGCGATTTGTTCTCGCCTATCCTCCCAAATCAAGCAAGGGGGTGGGGGTCTTGGAGGCGAATTAATTTTATGGTCGGTGTAGAAAGGGAATGCCAAAGGAATCCATCCATTGGTGCATTGACCAACAGCTTTTGCTTTCAGCGGAACCTGCAGGTATGCTTCTTTCTGATAGCAATCCTGAATGTTAGCCAGTTAAACTAATGGTTTCCAAATCCTGCGTATCCGGTATACCCTCCTGCTTCACCTGGAAGATGATGGAAGGCCACACCTTCCCAAGAGATGCAGCCGGGCACCATGTGGAAGGCGCTTGTCGGGGCGATTTGGTTTGGCCATGCTTGTTCAATCTTTTTGATGCGGGTTGTCCTCATGTGAAAGCTCAAAGAGCAGACCAAACAACACTGAAGCATTGGTTTTTTGACGCATTGGGTTTGTCTCGCTTCCTGGCCTGGAGGCCCAAGTTGCAGGACTCACTGCAAGCTCATTTTGGTACAGCAAGCTCACCCATGAGGCATCCTTTTTGACGCGTGCTTCAGCGGTCCCCAATGCCATTCTGGAGTTTCCCTTTTCGGGTTAGTTTGAAGGAAAATCAAAGGTCTTCTCTCCCATTTCGAGAATTCCCCTGTTTGTTTCCGCCTTGCTAGTAACATCATGTAAGGCCATTTAAAGTCAGTTGCCTTTTGGGGTTCCGGCTTGCAGGATGCTACCTCCAGTGCTACCCTTTTGTTCTGCTTTTGAGCCGGGCCTCCCTTCAAAATCAACCAGCCAAACAAAGGGTCTCGTTCTGCTGTGCTTTTGCTCGTTGGCTTTCTCATTTTGCCGGAACAAAGAAACGAACTAGAGATTAGTGAGGAGCTTCCCCCCCCAAAAAAAAACACAGCCCTCTTCCTTTCTTGGATTACTCGTGGCTTCCCCTCAATTTCCCCGAGCGACCTAAGGTCGTCTCGAAGAAGGTGGCCAAGGACAGCTATGTGGGGCCACTTGGAAGTCATCTTGCGCCGAGAACCCCAGCGCTTTTGAAGGGAACCAACTGGAAAACGAGTCCCAAGAGCTCCAGCGGTTTGAGGCGAAGGTTGAAGGGTCAGGTTGAAAGGTGTGAGGTCAAGATTAAAGGTTTTAGTGTTAAAGGTTAAGGTATGAGGTTATGGTTTAGGGCTATGGTGTAAGGTCAAGGTTGAAGTTTAAGTTGTAAGGTTCAGTGGGGGAGGCAAACATTGGACACGCAACGCCACGCCCACTTTTCCGACTCTTTTCCGCGATGGCGCTACCGAGGGTGGCCGGCATGGGCTGCAACAGCGTGTGCGAGCAGGTGTCCACTCTCGCAGTCTCCTTGAAGCCCCTTGCCGGACTTAGCCCCGCATCCACGGAAACTGACTAGGGGTCCTGGAAATAAATTTTCCGCTAGAAGGGAACCTCTTCACACACACACACACCCACACCCACACCCACACCCACACCCACACCCACACCCACACGCACACGCACACGCACACGCACACGCACACGCACACCCACCCACCCACCCACACACACACACACCCACACCCACACCCACACCCACACCCACACCCACACCCACACCCACACCCACACGCACACGCACACGCACACACACCCACACCCACACACCCACACCCACACGCGCACGCGCACGCGCACGCGCACGCGCACGCACACGCACACAACACACACACACACACCACTCAATGTAATTTGCGACACGGGGTTACCAATCATACCATTTCCTTGACGAGGATGCGTCAGTGTACAGCACTTACTCGCCCAAAGCAACCCGGCGTTTTGATATTTTGCTGTTCTAGTTGATGTTAGGCATCCCACACCACAATATCAACATGTTATATTCAAGCAGGTAAACCAGCCACCAAACGTGCCCCTTCTTTGGGCCCAGGCATCGTCTTTCAAGGCTTGTTGGGGCCGACCAAAAGCTCGTCACTGATCGGCTCTAAAAGTCAGCATTAGCTTGCTGTGACTCCCCGCTATGGCTCCAAATCAGCATACGGCATTTTGTTGGGTTCTGTTTCCACTTTGCATCTGATATATGTTTAATTACATGATTGTATTTGGGGTGCCCTTTTGGTGGTTCAAAAGGGCACCCGAGAGAAATTTCACATTGAGGGTCCCCTGGGAGACAAACCTGAAACGGTTCCTATGTTCGCCTGATTTTCTCGAGTCACTTGGTAGCTATGAGCACACGAGTTCAAACTACGCGTACTCTTTTCTTAGTTTGGCATGGGGAGCCTAACCAATTTGCCTACGCTCTTTGGAGGAAAACAAGTTGCCCACTCGGCAGGTCCAAAAGTGATCTGGATCCACGCTAAAGTTATACCCTGTTGATCAACAATGGATGATTTATAATGCCCATTCCTCAACACACCTGGCCAGTATGCCGCCTCTTGACTTGGAATCCCGTCCCAGTTTTGGAGCTGTTGAGGACGGTGTACGTGTGAAAATGTTGCCCAGACAAAAGATGTGTCTTTCTCTTTGGCGTCCTTTTGGTGTTCTTCAAATGTCAACCGAGGTTGACAGTGGTACTGCAACAACATACAAACACAGAAACAAAACAATCAGACAAACCAAGAGGGAAGACAGAAACAAACAAACAGAACAGTTTAAAACAATCCAACCGCAAGCAAGCAAGCGCACAAAGAAGCAGAACAACAGCATGAAGCAAACAAAAAACAAACGAGCGAACAAACAAACAGACAGACAGCAATGCAAACAGTCAAACAGCCAGGCAAACCCACACAAGCGCAAACGAACGCAAAAATAACAAAACAAAACAAGCAAACAACCAAACCGAAAGACACAAGCACGCAAGCACACAAACGCGGCAAGCGAACAAACAAGCAAGCAAGCAAGCAAGCAAGCACGCAAGCAAGCAAGCAAGCAAGCAAGCAAGCAAGCAAGCAAGCAAGCACACAAGCACACAAGCACACAGGCACACAAGCACACAAGCACACAAGCACACAAACACACAAACACAAACAGACACAAACAATCGACCAAGCAAGCAAGCAAGCAACGAAAACAAACATAACCACAGCACGCAATCACAACCACAAACACAGACGCGGCCACGATTCCAAACACAAACGCAAACACGAACACACACACACACACACACACAACACACACAACGCACACAACACACACAACACACACAACACACAACACACACACACACCACACACAACACACACAACACACACAACACACACACAACACACACACACAACACACACAACACACACAACACACACAACACACACAACACACACAACACACACAACACACACAACACACACAACACACACAACACACACAACACACACAACACACACAACACACACAACACACACAACACACACAACACACACAACACACACAACACACACAACACACACAACACACACAACACACACAACACACACAACACACACAACACACACAACACACACAACACACACAACACACACAACACACACAACACACACAACACACACACACACACACACACACAACACACACAACACACACAACACACACAACACACACAACACACACAACACACACAACACACACAACACACACACACAACACACACAACACACACACACACACACAACACACACAACACACACAACACACACAACACACACACGCGCACCCGCGCACGCGCGCGCGCGCGCTCGCACGCACGCACGCACGCACGCACGCACGCACGCGCACGAACGCATGCGTGCTCGCGCTCACGCACGCACGCATGCAAACGCCCACACGCACGCACACGAACGCATGGACGCACGGACGCATGGACGCCGGCCCTTCCGCTCGCACGGGCGGACGGACACACAGGCGCATGGGCAACCCTGGTCGGGGGCATTTGAAAACCTCAGCGTGGGCCCTGAGCGAAGGTTGCCGTTCCTCAGCTTCGATTGCTCTGCCGAGCGCTTCTCCGATGAGGCCGCGTTCCCCTTCTTGGCGCGCCTTGGGACCAAGACCTCCGGCTTCGCCCAGGCGATGTCGCTGACGCCGTCCCACGGTCGTGGAACACGGGTTTTCGGCGCGTGTTTTTTTTCTCGAGTTCCCCCCGCCTTCCCCGAAAGTGATTCAATTGTCATTGTCAGCCAGGCTTTGGATCGAACACATGTACTTGGGGGGTTCGATTCCCGCCCTGTCCTATGTGACCGCCCTTGCTCCCTGGATTTGTTCTACAAACACCCGTCCACTTCAATCCATTTGGTTCTGACGCAAGGGATGCGCGTTTAGTGCATGTTTTAGTTTAGTTCTTTTAGTCAAAGTTTGTTGGAGCTTTGTTTGGTGCATTTGGGGTTTGTTGAGCACGATGTTTCAGGAGCTTTGCTCCTCCTAGCTTTGGCGCGCTCCTTTCTCTGGTTGGTGTTGCAGCAAGGGTGATTTTCCGCAAGAATGTTCTCCGTTTCGATCAGACGTCATATGGATGGCATGTTCTTAGCATGCTGTGCATTTTGTTGGTTGTTTCGTCATTTTTGGCGGTGAAAGCAAAGAACAAAGTTTGCTAATCATATTCCAAGGGTTAGATAGATGTGGATTTTGTTTCTTAAAGTGATTGCATTATCAGTCCCAAAACTACTTAGATCTGCTGCGGGTGGCTTTCCCTGAACCACGCATTAGGGGGCAATTTTGAGGATGTCATTTTAGTGGAGCCAGCCCTACCCCTTTGCCCATGGCTTGATTCCCAATTGTTCGTTCTTTTAGGGGTGGTTCAGCACGCACATGTTTGGAGCGGCGGGCCGTCACATATTGCCCGGACGCATGATTGCCGCCTGGGTAGGCTTTGGCATGTTGACATGCTGGTTCGCAAATCGTGGGTGATACCTACAAAGGAAACTTGTCCAAAGCAGGCGGAGGTCTTTCCTGTTTTTCGTCAAGGCCCGAGGCTGCAAAGGGATAGCTTTGTACTTCCAGGTCCCTGGGGCAGAGGAGTTGCAATTATCCAGGTTTGGAATGCTCAGCCATGGGTCACCGGGCGCGCTAGGCCATGCAGGGCTTGAAGGACCTGCACGGCTGGAGCGACGTCTTCCTCGTCTCTGGCGCCCCAGACTGCCGCATGTTCGATGGGGTCAATCTGTTAGCCACTTCCAAGGTCAGTTGGGCGGGTGCTTGAAAGGCTGGCTCCGCTCACGATCTTGCTGACCAGTCATCAGAGAGAAGGGGTTATTCAGTCGATGGACGAATTTTTGAGGCTTCTTGATGAAATGAAACGGAGAAACCAACAGACATCTGCAGAACGCTATTTTGGGTGTCCCTAGCAACGGAGACGCACCCATCCACCGTTCATTGAACATGTTGTTTTTTCAATTTGATGAGTTTGAATCACACAGTAGTGCTTGGGTATCGTTTTGGGTGGGACCCTATCGGTTTGAAGGTTGCTGGGCTTCGTTCTTGGTAGTCAACTGCTGGTTTTTGTTTGAAATAGTGCTGGGCACCCTTGTGTCCTGCTTCTGCTTGATCCGGGATCATGCTACGTGAATTTGGCATTGTGCTAGGCGATGCCTCTGTTTACCAGGAAGAGGCCAACCGATACAAGGCGCGTGGATTTGGTCGACGACTTCGGACGCGGAATGTGTTGCTTCTCAAAGCGAGTCCGGTGTAATTTGGCTCCAGTTCGAGGAACTCCCTCAGGGACCCAATCAGAAACGCAATAGCAGGACAAGCCGGATGGTCGAGAGGCGGACGTTGCACGGGGAAGACCTCGTTGGTCGCCAAGAACAGGTTGCTCAAGACTCTGCCAGCAGCAGAACCCCAGGTGGTGAAATGTGTAAAGCTAGCAGGTTCCCCTATTTTAGAAATGGGAACAGGGACCAAGGGTCAAGTTTGCTCTGAGGGTTTTCCTCTAAGTCCCATCATTCCGAGGACCTGACGTGGTTGGTGCACCTAGTTGCCCTTTGTGCAGTTGGCCTGCGGGCCACTTGACGCAGCCCTTTTTTCAAAGGCAACCCTTGACTCATTTGTTGGAATATTTGCAGATGGTGATTACGGACAACGATGGCGTGACCTTTCATTTGGATCATTTGGGGAGTTTCCTCTTCCCTACTCCCGCCTTCCCAAAACTCACGGCTTCGGCAAATGCAATTGCCCCACCAAAAAGTCAAACATCTTGGAACGAGTATCTGCATGACTGAAAACGTGTGTAGATATGTGTAGATCGTCTTGCTTCTTGCCATTGATATGTCCCTTGTGAGCAACTGAACTTCACAGCTTGAGTTTGTCCTTTTGGCCATTTCCGTTTGTGGCAAAGGAGGTGTTATTTGGCTGACCCCAGGCTCACCTTTTAAGGCCACCGCCCCACAATCAAAATGTTTGCTTTTGCGTTGCGCATCATTTTGTTATTGGCCCACTTTCGATGGAGCTTCTTGGAAGGGGTGGTGTGTAGAGAGGAGACACGGATTTCTGTGTGAGGTACGCGCTATGCTAAAACTCCCATCCACCCACCTGGATGTGTCAGGCCTCCTTACAAGGCATGGGCCTTCGGGTGACCTACCTGAGCGCTTTAGAGAGCGCCTGGCAGGACGGAGATTCCAATAGACAGCGAAACTTTTCTTCCGGGGCCTTCCCTGGTCTGAAACATGCCTCCTGCGAGCCAATGTGCATGTTGTGTAGGTTATATGTAGGAGAAGCTACTTAGTTAAACTGATTAGCCAGGTATTCAGCAAATTTAGCTGGTTCGATAGTTAGCTCAACTAGCCAGTGAGTTGGATAGCTGGCCTGTGCGCTAGTTGGCTAGTTGCCGAGCTGTTAGAAAGCTGTTAGTCAGTTTGCTCGCTAGCGTCAGGCAACTAGCTTGTTGGTTGGCAAGCCAGTTGGCTGGTCACTAGTTTGCGAGTTGGCTAGGAAGTGGTTGCTATCTGGCTACTTGAAGTCGCTATCTAGCTGGTTAGATTGTTAGCTAGCTACTTAGCTAGTGAACTGTGTAATGGGTAGTTAGATCGTTCGGGGGTAAGCTAGTTAGCATGTTAGCAAGTTAGAAGGGCTAGCTGGCGAATCAGACGCTTAGTTATCCGTTAAGCTTTTGAGCTGGCTTGCTACTTGGGTAGTTAGCTTGGTTAGCTAGTCAGCTAACTAGTTTGGCATTCAGTTCAGATAGCCAGCTAGTCAGCTAGTCAATTGCTTAACGCTTTAGTTCAAGAGTGTGCTAGTTAGCCGACTAGCTACTTCGGTACCTAGCTGATTAACCATTTATCAACTACTTTGTTAGGTAGCTCGTGAGCAAGCTTGCAGGTTGGATCCTGATTCTTCGATGGTGGGCTACTTACTTGTTTAGCGGATAAAAATGATGAAAACCACACACGAAGCTTGTTGATCGTTGACGACGCGAAAAGCCCGCCGAGGGTTCACCATGTGATGCGTGCGTTTGTTGAACAACACACAGCAAAGCAGCGAAAAATGTAAAGCACACAACAACCCCGAGTTTGAGGGTCCGCCCCACAAAAGTCCAAACGCGGTTCACCGTTTTGCGGTTGCGAAACGGTCGCGGCCATGCCGATGGGTTTGTTTCGCAGACCCGAACATGCTTCCGTCAGGCATCGCGACTCAGGAAACCTGCTGTTCCTTTCGGGGTTCCATTTGTTGATTATTGTTTTTGCAGTTGGTTCGACCGGGAAGTCATGACTGGTCCAGCAGATGTTTTGTTTTCTAGCAGGGCATTCTGTGCCCGGAGCCTAAGTCTTTAACGGACGATCGGTGATCTCGTTTTGACCTCGTTTTTTTGCCAGGGTGCGTTGCGCATATGCCTGCCTCGCGGAGCTGGAAAACATGCTTTGCCATCATTAGCGTTTCATTGTGTTTCAGTGTTGACAGCTGTGTTGTTTTAGCATGACCATCTCGGTGATGTCCAGCGTTCCATGGGGATTGTTGCGGAGGCGTGACTTAGGAGTGACTTCTTGGAATCGGCGTTTACATGGAGCACAAAGCCACAAAGATAAAGGAGTGACTTAGGCATGGCTTTGTCGTTTGCCTGCAGTGGCAGAGGTGTTTAGGCTGTGTGGGGTTTCATTATGTTCATGCTCAACCAAGACGCTTCCAGCGGCGCAAGCACATGCTTCCACGGGCAGCAATAGCTGCCACGGTCATGGTGGGCTACACGCTGTTACACGGCTCCATTTACATCACTCACATTTTGAGGTTCGCGAAACATGGACCAGAATGAGTCATAGTCCATATGTGCAACCGTCAACACCTTCAAAAGACGACTTTATGAAGGAATGGACATGAAGTTCGCAGAAACGTGGAAAACGTTGGAAAAGCGATAGGCCCCTCAAAAGCGATAAGCTTCATGCTTCAGTGTATGCAAGGGATGTATGGAAGAGACGTGGTTTGTTTTCAAGCTCCAACAAGTCAGCAACCCCAACACACCCTAGCGTAGCCTATGAGAGTGATCGTGTGACCTTGTTTCTTGTTGGCCAATTTGTTGAGTTCCGGAACTGGACTCCCCAACTTGTTGCTCTGTGATATTGGAAGGGCCAAACCATACCCAAAAGGATCAACCATCCCCAAACCCATTATGGAGCCCAGCCATGGTTTTTGGGGAAACTGGCAAGGGAAAGCAAGTCAGCTGAAGCAAGGTTCACCTTTGACTGCTTTTGTGGCGCGGAACTGTCGGCTTGTTACTTTGTGGTTGCTGGAAGGGCCAAACCATACCCAAAAGTAATTTTGGAGCGTCAGGAGAACCTTTTGGAGAGTCTGGGGAGTGTGAGCTGCACTCTCCACGCATTCTGGAGAAACAACTTTTGGTTTGTTTTTCAATCACCAACAAGTCAGAAACCCTCTAGGCACGTAGAGTGATCATGTGAGGATGTAGATGTCTATGATATAGGTGTGCCTCTTGTTGATTGAGTTGAGTTTCCGGCTTGCCACTCTTGGCAGGGCCAAACCCTACCCAAAAGTTCATTTGGAGCGTAGTGGCACACCATACCCAAAACCCGGTCTGGAGCCCAGCTATAGCCGCCTATAGCAGCTTTAGGCAAGGAAGGTGACCTTTGACGGATTTTGGGTTGAACTGCGCTTCTTACTTTGTGGTTGCTGGAAAGGCCAAACCATACCCAAAAGTCATTTTGGCGTGTCAAGAGTACCTTTTCGCAGAGTCTGCGGATACCGAAGAACTGCTTGCTCTCCTTCCTATCATGCTTCTTTTTTGGCGCTCGCGGGCGCCACAGTCGGCCCGCCAGCACTCAAAGCGACACCCAAAACGACACCGAAACGGCTCCTCTACAATTGTAGTTTCCGCCTCGCGCGGGGGATGGCCCATTCGGTATGGCACCTGCCTCCTCTCTTTCTCCGGTTTGTTGTAGCTCCGCTTGCTCGCCTCCCTCTCTTTTTCCGGTTTTTGTCGTCCCGCTGGCCCCCACTCTCTCTAAAGCCATGTACGCTCCGGCCTTAGCGGGTGCTAACGTTGCAGAGGCCTTCCTCAATGGAGAAGTACCTTGCGAGCCCCGTGCAGAGGGAGGAGGAAGGCTTGGACGTTTTTGATGGTGGACGAGCAAATGGTGCCGAGGGCCCAGATGCTCAACCCCGCCATGCAGAGGACGTCACATTCTTGACTTGGACGAGGAGGCGACGTCATGTTGGGGGATTTCCCCCTTTGCCAATTTTGGATGTCCAGTCCAGCACCTGCTGAAACAAAAAGGGCCTGGAGCGCATCGTGGAGGCATACTATATCGCGAAGACAAGCTACGACCACATGGCCCGCCTCCGCACACAGGGCTGGTTACAGCGCCGTGCAGGACCGGCTTTTGGGGGGAAGAACCCACCCGCTGGATTTGCCCATGTTGTTCCATGCTCTGGGTTAAGAAGGGGACAAAGTGCATGGGGTGTGGGAAGATCACTGAGCCCATCGACACCACTCGGCCACCTTGGTGGTTGACGGCGCTGGCTGCTCACGGTGGACGAAACAATGCAGTCTGGACAACGGCCGGGTTTTCAGGTGCCAAGGCCCTGATATGGACCGGGCCCGCGACATGAAGGCCAGTGCTTCCGCGGACGTGAGTGAACTGGCTACGGATCCCGTGGCGTGTGAGAATCAGGACCAGGCCAGCTTTTCAGACTTCGTCCAAGATCCGACACTAATTTTGGAGCGTGAGGAGAGGGGAGTGTGAACTGCACTCTCCACGCATGGGTGTCTTTTCTTCTAGGGAAACAACTTTTGGTTTGTTTTTCAAACACCACCAAGTCCAGAGGGCACGTAGAGTGATCATGTGAGGATGTAGATGTCTATGCTAGGTGTGCCTCTTGTTGATTGAGTTGAGTTCCCCGGCTTGCCACTCTGTGTGGCGGTTGGCAGGGCCAAACCCTACCCAAAAGTAATTTTGGAGCCTAGTGGCACACCATACCCAAAACCCGGTCTGGAGCCCAGCTATAGCAGCTATAGGCAAGGAAAAGCATTTTCAGCTGAAGCAAGGTCACCTTTGACGGATTTTGGGTTGAACTGCCGGCTTCTTACTTTGTGGTTGCTGGAAAGGCCAAACCATACCCAAAAGTCATTTTGGCGTGTCAAGAGTACCTTTTCGCAGAGTCTGCGGATACCGAAGAACTGCTTGCTCTTCTTCCTATCATGCTTCTTTTTTGTCGCCCGCAGGCGCGACAGTCGGCCCGCCAGCGCTCAAAGCGATACCCAAAACGATACCGAAACGAATCCTAGGAGCTCTACAATTGCAGTTTCCGCCTCACGCGGGGAATGGCCCATTCGGTACGGCACCTGCCTCCCTCTCTTTGTCCGGTTTGTTGTAGCTCCGCTTGCTCGCCTCCCTCTCTTTTTCCGGTTTTTTGTCATCCCGCTGGCTCCCGGTGTTTGGGCTTGAAGCATCGCACTCAGCTGTCTTGGCTGAAGGAGACATATGTGTCTCATCGCCACTTGAAAGGAAATGCTGCTTGCTGCCCGATGTAACTCAACACCTTTGGCAGCGGGCCAAGCGCTTAAGGCGGGTCCAACAGCACACTGCTGCCTAAGGCCCAAGCCTTGAAAGAGAGCTGCTCCAAAAGCGGCGTAGCAGTAGTGGAGAGAGGTCCAGTAGCAGCTCCGAGAGATCTTGAAAAGGCTTGCTTGGGCGAGTGCTTGAAACATGGGAAAGCGATAGGAGGTTTCGACCGACGCACATATGATTTTTCATTAAGGCAGCCACCAAAGCCAAGGTATGTTTGCTTTGCGGTGTGGGTCCTCTGTGGAATGGGTACCGACTTAATCAACTTGTTCAACTTGTTGCAGGGAGTCAAAGGTTTGGTCACAATGGACGGACAAGGAGGCAGGTGACAACAAAGTGGGCAATTCAAGGAGGCCAAATCGCCGTTTGGCTCCAGATGTTTCAGTGTTTTTCTCACCCGAGTTGGTAAACAATGCAACATGTTGGGTTGAAGGGAGGGGGTTTGCCCGGACTTTCATGCTGCCCCGCGCATGCCAATCCTCCGCGTGCTCGCGGCTGTCGAGGGGGGGGAGGGAACGGGCGCAGGAAAGGACACGTCCCACGAGCCCTACACGCCATGTAACTTCTCCGCTATCTGCGCGCCCTACGCGACTGCACAATCCCATTTGTCTGCTTCGCATATACATGGCAGCCCGGCCTGGACAGCTGCATGCGAGCGTTGGTGGCATTCTGAAGGTGTCTCACTAAGAGAGTCAATCCACAGTCCTGGAGCCTGCTACGATTTCGAGCAAATGAAAACTGCCAGGACCGGCGCCACGGTTTGTGCACAATTCCCAACCCACGTCCACGAGTGGCCGTCGTTCGGTCCGGCCAGACCCCCCGGGCAACCCAACATGTTGGTAGGTGCCTTGAATTGAATCATGCCCCAAAAAGTACATGTTATATATGGGGAGGCCTTTCAGAACCTGAGAATCCCAGCATACTTTGGGGTGCAAAGCCATGGCCGCTCAGGAGATCCATAACCTCATGGCAACGATCAAGGAGGCTACCAAAGCAAAGCACCGAATCCTGCTGGTGCTAGGCGCCGGCGCAAACTGCGTTTTTCGTACGTACTGTGGATGGACGAAATTCTGCACTATGTAAACCTTTGGGATTTGAAAAGGAGCTTCCTTTAGGGAGAAGGAGATCCGCACGCATCCCCAACCGGACCCGTAACCCAGGAAGCTTGCCACAGGGCTGCCAACCAGTAGCTTAGACAAGCTGAGCAGCAATCAAAAAGCCCATGAATAAACCTAATCTTGGGGCGCCAAAAGGGTTCTGCGGAAGGAACGGCTCAGGGCGCGGAAGCTCGTGAAAGCTCCCGCGGAGCAAAACCCAATGTCGCTGAAGGTTGCGGAAGCCTCGCTGCTTGCAGCCCCATATTATGATAGTTTGTCCGTCAAAGTTTGGTCACCACTCAGGTGTCGGGCACAAACACACCAGAGATGGGAAACCGCTACCAACTTGCATATTACCTGTTATTTTCTCCCATGCCTGAAAAAATCAAAGTCGGCCCATTCGATCATGGCCCTTTTTATGAGAATTGCAATGGGGTCTCAGACTTTGAAACAAAGTTCAGCCGCAAATGCAACGAGGAAGCGTGTGATTGGCAGTCCCTGCTTTGAGGGCCATACTAGAATGGGGTTCTTCCCATAAATGCAAGATGAGAACGCAAATGATTTCGCCCATCAGGCACCGAGACCTTCTTCCGCAAGCTCATTTGCGCCTCCCTCACCGCCCAGCTTCAGCAGGGCATCGTGTGGATTTCCGCAGGCACCTGGCGACAACAATGGTGGCAGCGCTCCGCTTCTTGGCCGCTTTTGGTAGATGGGACCTCTGTAAATCACATGGACGTGTTTCTTCAACACAAGAGAGGCATGCTTTAAGGAATCGTTTCCCAAGAAGACTCGGCCTCCAGCCAAATAGACTAGAGATGCCCCCGGAAACCGGAGGCGGATCTTGAGAACCGCTCTCCATTTATTGGGGAATCACTGGGGAGCCTTAGTCCCCACCAAACTGGTTGAAGCATGCGGGCTTAGACCCCTCCATACCTGCTTTCTGCTTAAATTAAAAGGATGCAAGGGGAGCATTGGAGAGAGCCCTATGCACCACACATAGCCCCACCAGTCCGAGCAACACATTGAGAGAATCGTGGTGCCGCGTTCCCGGCTTGGGTTCCAGGTGGGTTCTTGTGAAGAGGGGAAGGTTTCGCTTCCACTACGAGACCCTTGATGTGTCCAAAACCGAGCGTTCAAACCTTGAATCCTGTTGCCCTTGTTTGGTGCTAGTTTAAACTGTGCAAACCGCGGGCAGTCAAACTTAATTATTTTGTGAGCTGTGTTTCACCATTTTAGTCAGGGCCCAACTGGTATACATTTGCGCTGAAACGGGAGCAGCCAACTTTCACTTGCAAACCCTGCGCATGGGTTTTACCTCACTCCTGTGTTCTGGACTTACATTTGGGAAGGCCGTTTGGTACAGAAACAGGTTAGAACTGTTCTGCTAGAGAGGCCGAATCATTCGGAGGACATGTCCACCTCCTTTCAGCGGCAGTGGCTCACAGAGGCAGCTCACAGCCTCCAGCTGAAGGCGGCTCCTTCTCGGTTGCGAGAGCAAGCCGTGCCCGGGGTCAGGTGGGCTCAAAGGCTATGCCCAGATGAAAAACTCCGAAATGGTGGTTTTCCCTTTGGTGCAAAAGAGAGAAATCCCCTGAACAAAAAGATAGAAGACCCATACAGCCTTTTGGCACCGTTTTGGAGGCTGGGTTCCAATTGGCCAGAATCAATGGTGAGGTGCCAAACAAACCAGGGGTTCATGCCAGGGGGCAGGGGGGCATGTATGATCACGCATACATTCAGTCTTTGGGGGGTCTTCGAGTCTCAACTCATATGGAGCTGAGGGTAAGTCGACCTCAGCCTGAAGGTCCTTTAGGTGCCCTTATCTCCGGTCGGCCAATTCAATTGTTTACAATTGGGTTTCGCAGACTGCTGTTGAGAAAGCACGTAGCTCTTCGTTCTCTGTGCAGGGGCCCAACCCAGATAGATGATAGATGTGACAGACCAGACTCAAGGCCGACGCAGACAAGTTCAACAATCTTTGCCATGACTCCTTTTGTTGGTTGTAGGCATCCCCGTTGTGCCAATTTAAAGTGATCTTTCTTGTGGCGGGGCGAGAGCGCGGACTATTTACGTACGTGGCAATTGCGATTTGGAGGCGAGGCTCTGTGGAGAGTATAGAAATAATAATACTACATATATATATATATATATTCATTATATACACGTACAATTCCAATTTCGAGCACGACTCTCGCCCTTAAAGCTGCGATTCCGCAGCTGGCGCTGTGAAATGATCTTTTGCCGGATCGAATGCTGAAATCTTACCAGCGCCCTCAAAACAACTGGGTTTTTCGTCCAAGATCCAAAGTACATGTCCCAAAAAGCAGTGGTTGGTGGCTCCACTTCGACAGCTCCCAGACCCCGCGAATGGGTAGGCGGCCTTCCGAGACTTCACCACGGCGTGGAAGGCCGGTGGCTGCTTCGATTTTGTTCCTCAGGGCCGTCATTAACGAAAGGAGCCCCAGCAAAGCAGTGGACAAAAGAGGAACATGCCCCCATTTGGCGGGGTCTCCTGGAAGAGTCCGGTGAAAGTAGATGGCGCTATATCTCTAGTTAAGTCTTACCATCCTGTTTACGGGCATGCAAACACAGGAAACATCTCACCCGTTTCGGATTTTCGAGGAGTCCCTACGAGGGTACCCCTTTGGGCGTGTTGTCCCTTTGAGGCGTGTAGTCTCATTTATTGTGTCTCAGCCTTGGTGTTTGGGCTAAGACAACAAAATGCCCGAAGCAACGGGCAAGGTCCTCACTTCCCAAATCACAGTTGTAAAGGCAAACAAAAAGCATGAATGTGCCGGCCAATCCACCTGAGATTTGTGTACCTTTTGTTCGGTCTATGATACCAGAGGTATATTTGCATGACGAGGCAAGGGAGGCAACGCCTACTACTGCAAAGTCACAAGATACAAGAGTTTGCTCGCCTGCAACGGCTCCCTGTGAATCCAAACAGGGCTTCCTTTAATTCCCCTTTTGGAGCCTTCATATGTGTCATGTTGTGCCGGCCCCGCACAACGATGCCAAACCACGACGCCTGCCATTGGCCAGAATTTCCGGCCATTGGTCAACGACACACGGAGCACCTTGATCTCGCTCTACGCCACGGACCAGAAGGACTGATTGAAGAAAGCATATGGGATCATTTGGAGGAGCTCTCAAAGCTACATTGGTTCCTTTTAACCCACCATCCAGCGCATTTAGCTGCGCCTGCAATTAGGATGCCACTTTACTGGTCCCAAGGAGGTTGTGCACTTTTAAGCAGTCCGGTCATGTTCCAAGAGTGAGACATATATTTCGGACAATAGTGGGTTCAACACCGCCACTGCCACTGCTACTATCTACTGCTACTGCTAAAGCTAAAGCTACTACTGCTGCTGCTGCTGCTGCTGCTGCTGCTGCTGCTGCTCCTGCGTTTGCTCCTGCCCTACTTTTTCCAGTCTTGCTACCATTGCTACTTTTACTAGCATTGCTACCCTCACAAGTACAAGAGGTGAACGTATTATTACAGGTGCTACTTACTACTACTACTACTACTACTACTACTACTACTACTACTACTACTACTACTACTACTACTACTACTACTGCTACTGCTACTGCTACTGCTACTACTACTACTACTGCTGCTGCTGCTGCTGCTGCTGCCATATGAGGGTTACATGGCTGAAGTCTGCTTGCGGGCCATATGGCTTTGGGTAGTTACACTACGCTTGGTCTTGTTGCAGAGGCATGCCCTTTGAAGTGGCAAACTAGCCATGGGGCTCTGGCTGACGTTGACATCAGAAACTGAATGATAATAATTCGCAAGGTTCCACATTCAGATCTGTCCGGAATTTCCCACGGGATCCGCTAGCAGGGCATTGATAGGTTTGCTTGGCGCGAAGTGGACATGGCGGACAAAAGCTGCCTTGCCGGTGATGACAGGGGCCAATGCGTGTGTGTGTGACTGCTTTGAAGCCGGTTCCATCAAGTACGGGGTGACTTGTTTGAGGTATGCAGAGAACACTTGCACGTTTTAGGGCTTTATTAAACTGTGTTGTACAACTGACTCCTTGGTCCTCATGCGAGATGGTATTGGTTTCCCTCATGGTGGTGTCCCACTACGGATTGTGGATTGGGAATGACCCATTTCGATCCACTTTGAACAATCAGCCAGGGGGCATGTGTTGTGCTGCTTGGTCTGTGTCAAGCCCCAAGAAGGTGATCAGCTCCATGCGGCCGGGATTCAATTCTCGGTAGCACTCTTTTCCCTTGTAGGAAGGGTTCTGCACCAAGAATGGTCACAAACCCGAAGATGGGGGAATTCCTTTTCTGCTTCAAGGCTTACCGAACTGGGAACATATCTTCTGCATACGGCCCCAGGATGCTTTAGTCCACGTGGAGGGCCCAGAGGCATACCATGAGGCGCACGTGCAGTGGCACCCGCTCTACCGGTCCTTGCTCTTCGAACCTTGGAGTTGCATTGCGGGGGAATCCACGGGTGTCGTGGTGAATTCCCGGGGCCTGTTCAGAAACTGGGACGCAAACTCACTGACTACCAAAACCCAGCTTTTTAGGCTCTTGGTTTTTTGTTTTCCCACGTTGGCACAGGTCCTTTTGCCGGGGCGGATTTGTGCACTAGTGAGCTTGTGGCTCTTCCCTGAAGGTCCTGCACTCATTCCGGAGTCGGTGAAGCATTTCGATTGCAGGGCTGTGCATCTGCGCACAACCCAAATGCATTTCCCTTGGACGGTCCTTTTTACACAAGACACCTGCACAAGGCCCATCAGAAGCCACCTAGCAAGGGGTGGTCCCAACGCAAAACTTGCGTGGGGCGGCGTTACAGTTTGTTTGATACAGGATTTCCATGGGCATGTCTTCTTTGAGGCCCGTTTTGCAGGGGCGCAGAGAAACTATGTATTCATTTGGGGGAGCCGTCTACACACCCATCTCTTGCCGCTTGCTCAGCTTCTGGCTCTGCAAGGCCTTTTAAGCTTGCTGACCTCAGGCATCGCGGCTTGCAACAGTCTATATCAAGAGGAGGTTGACAGCGCCGGAATCCTTTCACCACAATTCCCAGTAGTCCTTTTTGCTAGGAAAGTAGGGTCTGGCCATTTGTCATGTTCTGTTTGCCCAGAGTCCCGAAAGGAAACCCGAGCTTCACCCGCATTTGGCAACTCAAGGCTTGCAAGTGATCCCTGAAAAAGAAAAAAATGTGGGTGTCTCCTGATGTAAAGGTTCCCTTTGATACACACCCCTCCTTCCAATCCTACGCGCGGCAGTGTTGCCACGCTAAGGTGAAAGTTCGATTTCCCAACAGTCGAACAGTGCCAACGTTTGTCGAGTCCTTACTATAGCGAAAATGCCTGTGCACTCTGGCAATCCACATTTGGCTGGCCGAGAATCGAAAAGTCAGGTCAAAATCCCACAAGTCGAAAAGCCGAGACCAGAATCGAAGAGTAGAAAAGCCGGGGGAGGGGGGGTGGTTGGTCTTTTGTGAGTTCGACAAAAGAACGTTTTGTTCGCAAAGTATGCTATGAAGATTGAGATTATGTTGTTGTTGCCATTGTGTAAAAAAGAGCAGACACTATTCAGAATTTATACTGCATATAAGTCATACAAGTCATGAAGATTGAGTGTTTTCTGGAAAAAGCAGGAAATTATGAAATTGTGTCCTATGTTTGGTAATGTTCGGCTTGTTTAAAGTGATTTCGATAAACACGTTTGGCCTTGGTCTAGCAACACTGCAGTGACTGCTTGGGCAATCGGCCAGGGATTTACCAATCCTGAATCTGCAATAGGGGGAAAGCAAAATTGGTGAAGCCATGCAGTTGTCCCCTTGGATTGTTCAGCGGGCATTCGTGGACCAACCGCGCCGTCAAGAAACCCGGTGCGAGATCTCATTTGAAGTGGTGTTTGTCCATTCGTTGACACGTTCTTTTGGTGGGGGGCGAAAAGCTACGGTAGTGATGCATTGGGCAAGCCACCGGCCCAGGAAAAGGAGTACTACGACATCTTTTTCTTCAACCTGGACGGCGACCTCATCTATTCGACCTTCAAGGAGCACAAGGGTGTGTGTGTGTGGTGGGAAAGAGGCGTGGCGGTTGTATACACAGAGAAGCATCCAACCCAATAAAAAGAGAAGGCCCCTGGTTGCTTGTTTTTTCATGGGTTCGGGGCCTAAAGCCGTGGCCAGGAGTCGGACTTTGGCACCAACTTCGCCCTGAACGGCACAGGCACAGCTTCTGTCTAGAACACGTCTATGGGAATTTGCCCACTTTGAGCTCACCGGTTTGGGCTAACATGGGGAAGGTGTATTGCTTGGGGGATTCCTGATTTCTGGTTTGGGTTTTATGGCCCATCGGGGAAGTCATGAACCCTTTCTCCAATGCCCACAGTTTAGCCTTGCATTTTTTTCAGTCCTGGCCCCGAAACAGGTTCAGCTTTTGTTTGCGTCTTTCCTTGTGATTCCTTTCTCAGTACTTTCCGGTTGTGGTCTTAGCCAGGATGTTTCACCACTGGGGGTGGAAGTCCTGCTTACATATCGTCGTTTTTATTTCTGAGTTTCAGTTTTCTTCCCTTGTTTCCCCATTTGTCCCAAAGTGGCTAAATGTGTTTTGTTCGTTCGGTGGCTTCCCCAAACGAGGCTCCCATTGTTGGTTTGCCTTTAGGGTCACTGAACAACTGGGAACCTTTCAGAGTTCAGTCAAGAAGACACTTAGGAACACCCCAGGGCCCTCAACTAGACTCAAGGTCCGGGCAGTTGTGGGGAGCGCTTGGACGCTGTAAAGCTAAGTTTCCCCCCTCAAAACCACTTCTCTTGGAGGCCCGTGGAAGGACTCCGGCCTGGGCGAAGCCTTCCGTGCTGCGCTGGCTTCCCCGGACGCAGTGAGCAGCTCGGCTCATGGCTTGGCCCGACGACCAACGGTTCTGCTTCGCTCATTTGGGTTTTCTTGACCGACCGTTTGAGCTCCCCGGAAAGGATGGGCCTTGGGCTTCCAAAAATCTCCCGGTCTTGGCTTTCGCTCGCGAAACCGACGCAAAGGCGGTTCCCCAAAAAAGATCTAGGCAAAGTTTAGCGACGGGTTTGCGACATCATCCGTGGTGAAGGTTCCGGTCATAAGGTTCCTTAAGACGCATGTGTCGCACGACTCTGACCGTGCAACACTGGGAACTAACATGAATTTCCACCATGGAGCATGGATGCTTCTAGGAAAACAAGGTTCCTCCCTTGCAAATTAACATGGGATGCTGCAAAGGGATATCCAAAAAGGAGAGTCAGCTACAAATGTGTGTTGTTCTTCTTTTCCGGGGCTCCATGTTAGATATCTACGGGGGTGTAGTTGGTTGGTGTTTTCCAGTTATTTTAGGGTTGACTCCCATCGTTTCTCTAGAAGCCCTTTGTCCACTTTCGTAATTCTTGGATCTCCACACCCTCAAACATGGAATTGGGAGGGTCCCATGTTTTCTTCTGCCCCTCCCCTGTGGTGAGGGAGGATACAGATAGAATCAGATTTAAAAACGGAAAGCACCTCTAGGGTCTGTGTTGGATTCTGCCTATTTTATGGCGAGCTAAGGCACATGAGCGTGGGTCCTTGCCCTGGGATCCCTTACCTCACGTTTTCCGGAATAGATTTTTGTCTGGTTCGGAAGACGCCCAAAGTTCCCCCCTCTGAGGTTATGTGGATTGGAAGCCCTACGGCCCCAGTGCCAATGCGGACGCCGCCTTCTTCTCCATCGGTGTGCGGGATGTCAAGGCAGGGTCCAAGAAACTTTGGATCGCGAGCCCTGGTCTCTTCCAAGCTATTGTGTATAGTGTGCACCTGCTACTTGAAGAACCTACACAAAAGCGGGGTGGAGGAAAACCGGGTTTTGCACCTGCTACTCGTCGAAAACCAGGTTTTCAGTTGAAGAAGCTGGTTTTGCTTCCTGAAACCTGTACACAAACCATACAAAACCCGCAAAAATGCTTTTTGAAAACCAGGCTTTTCCTTTGAAAACCAGGTTATGTGTCGGAACCCGCTTTTTGTGAGATTTTGGAGTAGCAGGTGTATATATGTATATGTATATATATATATATTAATTATATAAAGCAGGCTGTCTATGAAGAGTCTGAAACTATCAAGGGACACCAACAGGACGTTGTTCAAAGTTGCCTTGAACCTGTGCAAGGGGTAGGCCCAATTTTGCACTTCACCCCCACTGGAGCGCGCGTTTATACCGGCCTTGTAAGAGCAAGTTTCTGTTTTGGGCTCAGGGCCTAAATCATGAGTTTTCAACCACGGAAAAGGCCCGATGTTAATTCTAGCTCTCGGGTCGCTTGGGCGTTTGGCAAGTTCACGTCAGTCGCAACTGAGTTCCAATCTCCCCCTTTCGCTGCCCTTGTGACAACCAGTGCGCTTGCGCTCGCGTGCTTCGTTGCGAAGGGAGGTCTGTTTCGCGTCCTGTTAGACACAGCGCAACGCTCACTTAGAGACAAACCCCGACCTGGAACCGGGGGGTATGAGCTAAGGAAGAGCTGGTGGGCGTCTATGCAATCCAACTGCCGCCCAGCTTCGAAAAGTCGGTGGAGGCCGCAATCAGCGTGGCTGTTGCTTGTGTTGTCATGTGTGCCATGGTCAAAGTATCCTTTTAGTTGGGCACCCTTAGGGATTTTAGTCACCAGGAAGCCGGTCCCATGATACACACAAGGAGTTTTGACCAGCCACAACCACGGGCTCAAACACCCTACCAGAGGGGTGGCGGTGCAAGCCGATGTTTTTGGTTTGACCGCCCATGGAGCACGCTTGCAATCGCGAGAACACCGTGATGGAGATCTGTGCGGGAGGTGGAAAGCGTTTTTCGTTCCTTCGGGGGGCGGTGGAGGTGTTTGGCCATCTTCCTGCCGGCCATGGTGATCCCAGAGTCCTGCCGGCCATGGTGTGCAATGGGCATGGGAACAGATGAAGGAGGATGGCAGACGGTGCTTTTGCAGGTCATTTGCCTTTGAGGCAACTCATGGTGCATGCGCGGTAGATGGGGCGTTGGACTTCCCAGACCACGTTGATGCTGTGTCCACAAATCTGTTCCAGGTTGGTGTTGCAGGCTCAGACGCCACCAACTGGTCGCAGTCAGCGCAAGAAGAACTGTTGCAGCGCAAGAAGAACTGTTGCAAGCCTCATTCAAGAGCGTGAGGTTGAGGAATGCAGAGCTGTCTGGTATGCAGATGGTGCCTTGTTGCCTGAAGATCAGGCCATTTGGTCATTCTTGAAAGGGTTGAAGCAACCTGGACGTTTCCGCGGCTGCGATATGAAGGTGCTGTGCCCAGTGAAGATGAGGTCCAGGCCAATGTTTTTGCGGAACGGCTCAGGCATAGACCGGGGCCGAGTTGACGCGGACACTGCAGAAGAAGATCCGGCACCTTGTAATGTGCATGCAAAGAATGCAAATGGGAGCTGTGGCATTCGGATGTGCACTTTAGTCATGGTCCCCCTGTTGGGGCGGTTGCATCGCTTTCTGAGCGGGCACTGCTGTCCCAGCCAGTTACGCCAACATGGCCGAGCTGGACTGGAAGCACAGACAAAAGGAGACAAAAGGAGTCTTGATCATGGCACTTATGAGGTTCGCATAACTTTACCCATGGCCGCGCAGGCCGAGGCGCATTTGGCAGGATCATTGGGGAACGCGCTAGGCTGTTGTACGAAACATGGGCACCAATCATTTGTACCCCATCCTGGGCTACCGCATGTTTTGAGAGTAGTTCTAAAGTTTTACTTAGCCGTATGTTCAATCCTCCAAATCCGAACACAAACCCTTGAGATCGCTTTACAGGGTTTGTAAAGCATAGTATCTCCAAGCGAGTTGGAGGAGCCGATGTGATGTTGTTCCTGCTTTTGGTGCTTTTGTTATATTATTGCATGCTAGTGGCATTTGTCATTTTCTAGCAGAGCTTCGTTTTTTTACTCCATGGTACGGTGCTGGTTGCCACCACTGCTGCTCGTGCCTCCACTCTTTGCAAATTTCAGGGCCCCAAGCCATCTTCCCACATGAGCCACGTGTGAGCACCCAACACCCATTGACAGTTGTCGTTCTTCCAACATGGTAGCAGCCCTTATTGAGCCCTGGTTGGCTGTCATCTCAACGGGATCTTTGCAGGGACACAGACCCCTGTGTTCCCAAACGCGGGGTGCTCCAAGCATTGAAAAGATGACCGCAGGACACAATGCCAAACTTTGGTGTGGTTTCCGTGCCGAATGGAAGCAGCAGCTTCAAAATGAAGTTGGGGGAGTGACGCGTTTGGAAGAACCCCCCGCGCAAGGTGTTTCACGTCTAGCCAGGAGCTGCACCCGCAGTGCTCGCTGGAGGCCATCTCCGCAGCCTATGAGGGGGCAATCAACGTGGCGGGCCTGGGCAAAGCGGCGGAGGCCGAGCTCACACATTCGGAATCGGGGGATGAAGCGAGCGCTTTCATCCCTGATTGCTGTCGGGTTGTTGGACTTATTGCAGAGTTTGCAACTTGTATAGAAACAAAAACATATTTTGTATGTATATACATATAGAGTCCTTCTTAAAGGTCCTTGATAAGGAGTTCAGTATTCTGCAACCATGGGTGTTGGTTGAGATTCGGTTCGCGGTGGAGTTGCGAAAGTAGTTGTTTGTTTCGAGAAAGTGTTGCGTAGCTGTGTGACTGTTACATTTCAAAAACTACCCCAAATTGCCAAGACTATAGCAAATATGAATCTTGGTTGGGCAACCGCTGAGATAGACTGCTTCCTGCAAAATGGAATCAGCAAATCCACAGTATCTAGCGTTCTGAAGGACCTCCTTCACGGGTTGCATGTTAAAACTGCAGCGGGGCAATGTCACTTTGCAACAATCAATGAGGAGGCTGACTGCCTGATAGGTCTGACAAGGCCTGTGACTTGATACTGCCCGACCGGTTGCACCAACATATGTTTGTAACTTAATAGGGTGCATGATGGGATGTGTTTTTTTGGGGGAGGCTCTAGCATGGGGTTGAACTGGCTAAGAAGCTCTGAACCGCGAGCCTTTGAGGCCACTGCGGCAAAGTCGAGCAATGAATCATAGGATGGATGAACATACACAGAGACCTTATTGCAGACACCTTACAATAATTGTTTTTTCCCCCGGTTGAAGCCGTTCCAAACCCGGTGGAATTCGATTTTGCAACGGGAAGGCGGACATGGAGAAGCCTTTGGACTGCTTCAAGGGCCATAGCCCCAGGCCAGGATGGCACCCGCCCCTCGCTGCGGGGCAAGTAGGCCACCCTTTCCGAAGGCAATCGTTGGAGCCCAAAGGGCCAGCTGCAAAGACGATTTTCTTTGCCCAGACTTTCGTCAAGGAATTCTTCGACCTTGGGGCTTTTCCGTATTGGTACCCAAAAACGGTCCCGTGGTTTTGATCGTCGCGGCTGCGTTGCGCCGAGGTGTATATAATAGGAAAACCCTAGATACGACAAAGCCACGACGAGTCGGCCAGCCACATCCCATGGCACGGGTTTTCCCTTGGAAGTCAGCTCGCCTCACTTGGCATTCGGCGTGTGGTCACTTTTCTTGGGCCCGTAAGGTTTTGATTGGCCAACTCAAGGGCACTACAAGTCAACCAAGGTTGGCCAACCCTTTGTTTAACCACTTTTTTTTCTTCTTTGGTTTCCCGAGAACACATAAGAATAATAAGTAGAAGAAGAAGAAGAAGAAGAAGAAGAAGACACAGCTGAACAAAACACACATTCTTGCCTAACCCTGGAGCTAATTCAGCAACTGCAAGCTATTGTGCGACTGTAGGTTGAGCCGGATCTTTCCTTGGAGATGCTTCACGAAAAGGGTCTCTGAAAAGATTAAGAAAGCAGTCCAGGCTGGGTTTCGGAACACCCTCGCTGGCACCCAGGATCGGAACCCCGAGATCAACGGGAATTAACCACAAGGTTTGGGATTGGGTTGCCCGGGTTTCCTAAAAAAACTCAGGCTTCCCCATAGGAATCAATCAAACGACTCAGTGGTTCAGGGAATCAACCTGGTTTTTGGGAGACCGATCGATTTTTGCAGGGTGGGCCGGGTCAACTCAATTGAGCCACAATCAAAACCCGGGCAAATGAAGGTTAGTAAGGGACAATCTATCGCAACCATAAATGTCTGCGGCCTCCTTCCTAATTCTTCGCATTCCGGGTAGACCATGTTACTACCGGGTTTTGACTATGACTCAATTGAAGGATCGAACGTGTCAGGAGTTTGCTCACGCTCCTGGACCGGCACTTGGCCCGGGGCTTCCCTGAGGGAGATGCTGCCACGCAGGTGGAGGACCCGATGTGACCAACAAACACCGGGCATTTTGCCTCAACCCCAACGCGGGTAAATATTACCTGCATGGATTGTTTGGGCTTTGATGAAACTTATAGTTCCTCAACCCCGGTGCAGATTTAGAGGATCCCAGCATCCCCTTGTAAAGCAGGGTTTTTTGGACGAATCCTTTAAGGAAAGCTGTTCTGATGGCTTCCTTCTGAAAGTCGGTGGGGGTAAGTGAAGGTTACTTGGTTGCTCCGGTCGTTTGGTGATCCTGCAGCACCCTGTATATAAATCCCTTGTTGTTTGGTGGGGTTCCCAAGAAAATCCGAATCGACCCATGCAAGAAAAGGGGTCCCCTTTTTCTACCACTGACCCAGACCTCATTTTCGTTATTTTTTGGAAGGGGGGCCCCTTTCCATTTAGCACCTCCCAAAAGTGCCCTTTTTCCAATGGCCACTGGATGCCTTTGGTGGAATGTATGGATATCCCAACGTTTGGCCTCTTACGTGATCCAAAGCGCTGCCCGCGAAGCTCTTGGCGGTAAGGTTGGGCACAAAAACCGGGTGCCTCACTCTTTGCCCATTGGAACGTGTGAGTGATTACCTGCGAGGACTTGTGAAAAGGCCGGCGAAAGAGTTGTCAGCGTCCCTTTTGGCAAAAGGCGCCAGCTTTCAGCCCGCCCTTCATGTTTTACCTTTGAGGTTCTTGGACCGGAGTCTAAAATGTCATGGGAGGCAAAATCTTCGGTGGCTTGTGTGGTTGTAAGCAGCCTAGTGGAAGTGCCAATTTAAGGTGAAGTTCCTGTTGGTGTTTTGCAGGCAACTTGTGCAGCTTGCTGTTTGAGTGCCCTGGCTTTGGTGGAACCTCAGCCTCTTAGATCGGTTGGAATCTGAGGATGGTTTATGCGTTGTTCATGTCATGGAGCCCGCAACAATGCATTTCGAGGTTTGTGCTCCGGGGGAGGGTCTCACTCAATAGTTACTAGCTGTCCCGCTGCACATCCAAAAACGCATTGGCTGACTTGCTTTTGTTGAATAAAGAAGCGCGTGTTAGCCAAGGGAGCGCACTCTGTTTCTTTGTTTGGTTCCCCCTTGTTGGCCTACTCTTCGTCATGGCCTTGAAAGGCAAGCCGGCAAGCCATGTGTTTCCTGTTCCTTCAGGCTGTGGAGGTCCTCAGAAAATGGCCAAGCTCCAAACGTTGGCGGCTTCTCAAAAGGACGAAAGCAAAGGGGATTGACCTTGTTTTTTGTTCCAGTGATTGCCAGTGATCCTTGCTTCTGGGAAGGGAGCAGGGACGCCGGCCTTGGGCTGAAGCCATGGAGGCATTGCCCCAATTTGGGTCGGGCTTGAGGACCCCTACAACGACGTGAAGGCCCAAGCAGTGGATGGCGCTTGTGCTTTGGCGCTCACCGTGCAGCAACTGGGATAAGAAGATCACAGGGCACAGGGCTTGCCTTTGGTTTGGACCAGGTAATAAATGGGGCTGACCTTTTGGGGCGTTTGATAGGGATTGCACCAAGCGGGTGGAGCCCATTTGTTGGTTCCCGAACTCGCCAAACCACCAGGGATCTTTGCTGGCCTAGGCACATCCTTCAGCAGGGCTATACCATGTACCAGGTCCAACACCCAGACGCGGCCCTCTTTGGGAAGATCACCGACTACCTGCACACGAAGCTGGATTTCCAAGGCGTCTCTGGAAGAGCGCCTCAGCAGAACGGCTTCTTTTTAAGGGGGGTAGCGATGTTGTTTTGCCAGACATGCTCAGAATCCAGAAAATTCGACTTCATAGTTTGATGGGGGTTAAAGGCATACGGGGGAGGAAGAGGGAGAGGGAGAGGGAGAGGAGAGGGAGGGAGAGGGAGAGGGAGAGGCAGACAGAGGGAGGGAGAGGAGGCAGGGAGAGGGAGGGAGAGGGAGAGGGAGAGGGAGAGGTTGTTTGAGTATAGTGAACAGCCGATATGCGTGAAACAGTTTATGCCTCAAGGCATCATGCAAAGAAATTGTTCCGTGGCCTGATGTCTCACGGTGCTTCTTCAGGATTTCAACCCTCTCTGAAAGTTGGGATAGCTCCTAACCTCCCAGTTCCAAGCCGCCAATTCCCTTTCCACCAGCCTTTTGCAATGGGTTTCTATGCGTTTGTTGATTGGAAGGGTGAGAGTTTTTCTGGGGCACCTTGAAAGGACACCAAACTTGTTTTTGCGTGTGGTGTCCCTTCAAACCCAACGTATTGCATTCACACATTTCACACATTCCACCTCCACTGCATTTTCCCGTGTCTTCGCATGCGAAGAAAGCAATGACCGTTTCTGGGTCCCTTTTCTGTAGCCATACGGCACTATGGACCCAGAGGTGACCTTCCAGGGCAACGACCGCCTCAACCCGCTGGTCGTGCAGCAGGTGCAGCAAGGGAGCCTCTCGATGCGCAGGGTCAAGGTGAGGCGCTTTTCTGGCGCTGGTTCTTGGAAACCTTCCAAACCCATTGCTCTTTAAGGTTTCCTTCATCCCAAATGTTGAGGCAGAAATTATTTTCTGGTGAAGCAAAATCGCTCCTTTGCTGCTTGAACTGTGGTAGATGCCTGGCCAGCGACGTTGCTCTGGAACCCACCCAAGGGTAAGGCCACACCTGCTCATTTAGCTTCAGCAAATGGGCATGTCCTACATGGTCATAAATATGCAAACGTGTGCACAGGGCATGTCAAACTGTAATGTGCGTACACATGCTGAAGTGTGGGGGCGTTGCCATGGGATATATATATATATATATGTATATGGGAGCTATGTGCAGGCATTTGCATACGTGCATGAATATGCATAAATGTGCATGCATTGTGCAACATGGGCAACACATGCATATGTATGCTCATTTAGGCAGAACTATGTACATGGCTATTTGCCCATTCATGGACATACATGTGCAGATGGGCAGACAGGGGCATATGTTCAACCTTTGAGGTTTGGTGGAGGTTGGACTCATCGATGGAGACCTCCAGCTCACCGACCAATTGACGGACGCCGCCTGGGTCCCGGAAGCACCAGCCAAGGCAGGGATCGAGAGGACTCGGAACCGCTTTCGGCAGCTTCCCCCAAACTGGTGGTTAACATTTCCTCACATGTTTTTTCATCAAAGGAAACCACCAAACAAACACTTGACCCATTTTGTGGGTCCTTTTTGAGACAAACCCATAGGTGTGAGGTGCCTGTGATTTCGCTTCCGCCCGAGCCCTCAGAGTTTCATAGATTGCGACCAGTGGATTGAATCCGCCGGTTTCCTCTTTTCTGTTTGGGGGGGGTCTCCCTTCCCTGGTAGCGTGGGCTGCACCCAAGGTCATTAGTCCGACCTTTCGGGAAGACAAGTCTAGTGATGTCTTGTGGTTGGCCGGAATTCCATGATCCACCGATGGACACGGGGACAGCCTCGAGATGGAATCGCCGTTTTTGGGAACACTGACAGTGAACGTTTCCTTGGGATGCTTAACAGGAGCTCAATCAAAGCATGTTACACAAGAGCGACCGCCTTTTAGGGTCGTATGACTGTGGTTTGTTCTTTCTTTTTGGGCTTGCCTGAGCCTCAGTTTTTGTTGGGTAAATTTAGGAAGGTTATCTTGGGATGTGGCGAGTCCCCGCCGTTCCATGGACACTGGACGGAAACTGAGGCCCGAACCTTACCCTAAAGCAATCAAACTAGCCTTCTGTTTGCTGGCTTCTTCCCTGAGAACTGGTCAACCCAAAAAAAGGGCAAGGTGTCCGCCATCTCCACCTCGAGCGTCGCCCTGGCAGGTTGAGTACATGTGGGTCGTGCAAGTGGGAGCCGCATGGCTCACCTTTTGGGCGCCGAGTGCAACTGGGGATTTGGGGTTTCGGGTTTTTGGGGCCAAATCTGTCGATCTTGGTGAACCACCCCCTTTTTTCCCTTTGCAAGAGCCTCGTCCGCGAAGCGCTCCTCAGCTGGTCTTTGAAGGGCCGGAGGTCGCGGAATCTCAAGCCCGAAAACCTAAAAAGAAAACAATCGGGGCAAGGAAAACAGAGGCGCACAAAATGCCGAAAATGATGTACTTTTGGGTAGGCCAAACGTGAAGCTGACGATATGTTAGCGCAGAGTTAGGCGAAGAAAACAGCGGGGGGCGGGCACCAAGTCCCTTGTGCAGGTGCCTTTTTAGTTGCCCTGGGTTTTTGTTTTGCTCTGGCGGGGGCGGGGGGGAATCAAACAGTCCCAGCTTGAGCCTATTCAGAGGCGCTTTGCCACTTGTGGAAAGATCATGGGTGTTTGGTGGTTTCCGTTTGGTTGAAACAATATCCTGCGCCACGTTTACTCTTAAGCTCTCACCGCTTTTTTCATTTCAACTGGGCTTGCTTGCCCACTTGCACATGTGCAGTGAGTTTAAACAAAGAAAAATAAGCATCACCTCAATGATACCACCCTTTCATGGGTATCGGCATTCAATTCTTTGTGGATGCCCACTTGTTCCAAATGGGGGTGTGGATGTGTTTCCCCTGCAAATCGAGTATCATAAAGGTAATGGCTGGGGTTTCCCATGGGCCGGGGCACGGACTAGGTGTTCATTCGTTCTTGTTGAGAACTACCCAGGATTCCTGGGTTGTTCGGGTATCTTTTGAAAAAAAGGACCCCTGAAAGGTTGGGGAAGTGCAGCTAGAACAATAGCTTGGCCCAAGAGCTGCGTTGGGAATGAGCGCTGCTTGCAGGTCTTGGTAACCGTGATCCTTTGCCCTTGCATCGCTGGGATTTGGTTGGGCCGCAGGCTGGGCGCCAATTTGGGTGGACATGTGGGACACCTTTTGCTGCTGTTTTTTTTTAATTGTAAGCTTCACTAGTCAACTAGGATCAAACATACCATGTTTGGTTGGCGGCAAATGCTCAAATTACAATCTACAGCGAACTTCCCCATTTGGCTTAGTCACCCTTCTTTTCGGAAAACCGCCGAAAGCCACAATGAGAGCAGCTGCTTCGCTGTTGGTTGAAGAACATTGTGAGCCAACCCTAGCGGTAAGCCTTGAGTTGACCAGCCGGGCCAGGCAAATCGAGGTTGCCCCCTATGCACATTGTGTGTCTCTTTGAGGGTACTTGGATCCTTCTTTCCAAACTACCGCCAAGAGTGCGGATGATTGCGGCAGGTTTGTGGTTTTGAGGGACGCTGGTTGAAAAGAGTGGGGACCCTACTGCAATCTGAAGTCTCCAGTGGCCTCGAATGAGCTGAGGGCTACCCTTGACATGCCCCAAGGGCCCAGGCTGGCACCCCTTGTTTACCTTGTCCCAGTTGTGCGCTTTTCGCCTTTGGTTTCGAGCTTTGACACGAACCGTTCCATGAGTAATTCCGCGGGTGGGGATGGGGATAGAATCGAATGGGGTTCCCGTAAGCCAACATATAGCGAACGCCAAAGCAAGGGGCGCCCATGAAACGCGGCACTGAAGTCGTAAGGCAATCACTCTGGAAAAGCAGCAAGGGTAGCCCACGATATGATTTGTGGCCCTTTGACTTGCACAACTTTGCAGAGTTATATGGCACGCATGACTTTCCGTCGCCTTCCTTCATTGCACCTGAGGATTTGATTTCCACCGGCCCATTGGAAGGCATGCCATGACCTGCCCTAGTAAACATTGTAGCCAATCGTACAAAGTTCTGCCAGGTTCATATTTTAGCTTTAGTCTTTCCAAAATTCCAATTTAGAGTTGGGTGGCCAACATCAAGTTGCGTTTCGCTACCCAGTTTCAAGCAACATGGTCATGACTGGTACGTATTGGTGGCGGATACACATTGTTTTTTGTGGTTCTGGGTTTGGACCAGGTTAGGTTGACGACTGGACAGTCAACCCAGTGGACGCAGATTCTCAAGCCATGGCAAGGAGAGCCCTCGCAGCCCAATAGTGGCTATTAGTGCCTCTCTGAAGCCATGAAGGACGTTTAAATACTCGACCATGTGCTTCCTAGCCATCCCCTTGCGATGGCTCTGAATCAAAATTGGTTCTTGTGGGGTTTTGTCTTCCAGACCTCTCGCAGACCTAAGAGAGGAGATGAAACGTGTTTTTTCCCATCGCACCGCTGCCTTTGACTACTTCCTTGCCAGTTAACCCGGAGAACAACAGTGGTTCCTCCAAAGTTTGGGTTCCATGTTAATCTGCGGGAGGGTAATGCATGCGCACTAGGGGTTGCGTTTGATCACCCCCCCCATCAATGGGGTCACAATGCATCAACTAAACTACCTAATTTGGCCATGGGACCGAGTTGCTTTGTCCATCAACCGTATTCTCACTTTTGGCAGAGTTTGGTGTTGTCTTTTCATTGCCAGGCTCAACCAACTATGTTTGACCTTTTGGATTGGCTTAATCGTCTTTTTCAATCAGCAAAGAGTTGTCTTTCTGCTGGGGCCAAGAGGCTCGACCGCGCCAGGATTCTCAAGCGTGCTGGCCAAAGCACTCCAGCCAACCCCGTCAACCAACAGTGAGGCGACGGATGTTCCAGCGCGCTCCCACGGGAGCTCGGGTCGTTGTCAATGTATCAGACCTGAGCCAAACACCGACTTCTGAAGCTCAGCTGCATCTCGAGAGAAACCAGCGGCAGGAAATTCTGCACGAAATTGGACACAACACCCACCAACAACTGTAGTTAGGATTTTGCGTGTAGCCTGCAAACTGGTTTCTTAGATCTCTGGCAAGGGACACTTTTGGGCGTGGCGGCGTCGCGTGTGTCGTCCCAAACTGTTTCGCCTGGCTGACATCGGTGAGAGGCCACGGATCCTCGCGCGCTTTGAGTAGCTCGGTACCTGACTTTCGGTCCTCAGAAAGGGGCCCCAGGTCAACTCGCTGTGGCTCCGTTTTAAGAGCTCGATCGAGTCTTCATTCCTTCACAGCTCACAGCTCTCTGTTTCAGCCCGGAAGGATGCTTCCACGTGTTGCCGCCAAAGCTGGCATTTGTTTGTTCACGATTGTCCTTGCTGGTTTGAAGGGAACGGCCATGAGAAATGACTGGCAAGCATGCCGTCATTTTGGTTTGGCGGTAAAAGCGCGCACGGAAGCTTTTTTGTTTTCAGCTGGTCCTACAAGCTTTGGGACAAACCTTGTCCTGTATGTCCTCGGGACCGAGTCGAAGAATTGTCCCCGAGGCTACTTGAGCACCTGGGGAAGTTCCATTGCAATGATATAGGGAGCCCTCTTTACATCTACCAAAGCGCAATTTCAGTCCCAACTTGGCCACCTAAAAAGTGATGTTTGAGTCCAGCCTTGAGGTGGAAACACCCCCATAGACATCATGACCCTGCCCTCCCAGGGCTACACTTCCTCAAAACCTACTTCGAAAATGGTGGGGACAGTCCCCTTGCAATAATTGGATATGTGTTGTTCATGCGAAACACTCTCAGAATGGTTGGGGATCATCAACCGAATCAACCCCCATGTTAATGATGCCCACCAAAGGGTGCGCAAGCAAATCTCACACCTACATTAGTGCGGCAAGGACTTTTGATTCGTGCCATGTCTTACGGGTATAGACTCCTGAAGAAGCCAGAGTTTGGTTATTAATGACTATGTTTAGGGCAAATTTCAATTTCCCCGGGGGCCAGATCGCAGACGGACTAGATGCATCGGATGGATGGTCCACAAGCATCTTGAATCGCGTGCAGTACAAAAACAATCAAGAGCTCGTGGAGTGTGCGTGCGTGTGTGTGTGTGTGTGGGTTTCCACCATGAAAGGAGCTTGCAGTTGTTGTTGCAAACTAAGCATTTTATAAGTTCCAGATCCAGTGCTGTTCATGTACAGTTGCGTGCAATGGGGTGTAGCACATCACCTGGTGCAAGACCTGTGGCCTATGCACAGACCAAATTCTAGGCAGATTTTCACAAGCACGAAACCGGGGTTGACCTCACCAATGGTTCGCTCCTTTTTTGCGGGTTTCCTTTTTTGGGTCGGCAAAATAGTCTAGTTCCCCAAAGAAACGCGCAGATCCCTGATCCCAAGGCCAGACTCCTTGCTGCAGAGAAAGGTTTGCAGAACGCGCTTTACACACTTTTGTGGTGTTTGTTTCTCTTGGGACTTTCACTTCAAGTGGAAAACTGGTGTTTCCCGAGATTCTCAAGGTTGCGCCGCACTAAACTACGGGAAATGCAGGGGTCTCCTTGTTCCCTTCTGTGTAGTGAGACGAGCAACGGCGTGGGAATCTAATGTCAAACGAGGCTGCGCGATGACGAAAGATCGTTCAATCCCTATATCAAAGGGACCTATATCAAAGGGACCTGCTTGAAGCGGGCATAACTACAGGCACTCTTAGGGTCCCTTATGTCCCAAAGGTGTATGGAAAAACATATATGTGATATCATGTTCTTGCAAGCGTGATGCGGCTCGCAGCTGTAGCTCTAGACTGCATGATGTGAAGTATTGTTTGGGCAAGTACTTACCTTGACACTCCGGCCTGTGGAATTGTATTGTGACAGTGTTTTTTGTTTGCCTTTTGTGGAGTTGTGTCAAAGGGACGGTAACACGTGAAAACTGTTCGGGGTAAACCACCTCCCCAAATTTTCTCTGAAAATATGTAACAATTTAGGCTTTGCTAAATATAAATATTCACCAGAATGAGCATGTTTGCATACTTTTAGTCACACACATATATATATATACACATATTATTACACTTCTTTTTTAGCGGGATATTGGCTTCTTGTTTTTGTGGTTGGGGCGCAAAAGCTGAGGTTGAGATATCCCCATGTTGCACGCGCTGTTGCTGGGCCATTCCATTTGTGCCTTCTGGCGTGCTGTGCGAGTTTCGTGTTTCGGCTGTTAAGTCTGCGAGTCTTACCGGCCTCATTGTTCTGATGTTCAACCGACGTAGATGCACTCAACTTCGACGCAGTCAATGAAAAGTGCATATCTTCAAACTGGTGAACAGTGACCTGCGGCGCGTGAGTGCCCTGCGGCGTGTGAAAGCCCTGCGGCGTGTGAGTGCCCTGCGGCGCGTGAGTGCCCTTTCATGAGTCATCCAATCCTTTCCTGGAACAGGGCGAGCCATGCAAACGCATGTGTGCCCCTGCCTGCCAAATGTCGCGGCTTCAATCCTTTGCAAGGTCCAAGAGAGGGGAGTTTGGGATGTATCAGCTAGGCATTGGATTTGGGTTGTTCAAAGTCACTCCTTGATTCTTGAAGGTGCTGGTTTGTCTTGCAGTATTGGTGTCCACTGCGGATTACGAGTTCGAACGCAGGAATCCCCCATGTTGAACAACCCAGATTCCGCCGTCCCTATCCCCAGTTCCAGCTTGTTGCCAAACATGTCCGTGGACCTGTTATGTCTACGCTGTTTTAAGCTGCGCTCAGAATGAGCCCAGTGGGACGATTGCGGGCGCTGCGGGAGCGGCACGACCACCTTCACTCTACCATGGTATGCTGTATGCATTTATTCTGGCAGTTATCATGTGGATAACATGTTTTTGGCTTTTTGCATGAGGATGCAATGGCCGCAGCACACAGGCAGAGAGAGGTTACCCTTGTGGTGTCTTTGAGGAGAGATGCGCAGTTATTTGCATAGCGCACCCAGATGTGTTGTTGTCCATTCCTGAGGTACAGGTGATCACGGGTCCTACGATAGTGATAGGGAGAAACGGTACTGAGGAAAAGATGACGGCGTGCAACATGTGCCGTGCCCCGCACTGGTTTCCATTGCGGCCGAACGAGGGCTGCACCCGCAGAGTTCCACAAAACTCACCACGTGCAGGGTATTTAACACTGCGCGCCCCCAGAGAGCTTGTCCACGCATCCAACAAAATGAGGACTCGTTTGACCAAAAGACCGCATGGGAGCCCCGGAGTAATGACGTCCCATTTTTGTGGGAATCATTTACTTTTGGGGAAGCCCCCCCTCCCAAATTAGTCGTTGGTTTATCAAGGGTCGGCATTATTTGACCGGAATAGTTGACTCTATTTGCCATACCCGGATCTCCCCATTTGCGCATTCTATACTACATGGGTAAGGTGAAAGGCACGTTCCCAGATCCCAGACAATGCACCTGCACGCGGTGGTTTCCATCGCTTCGCCATCTGGAGGCGCAAGGAATGGCAAAAACTCAGCGCTGGAGTCTGGGTTCGCGTCGTTGCTCGACCCCATTTGCTTCAACATACAGCACCGGGGATTCAAAATTCAAGCCAGCTAAGTCCTGCCGGAACCCAAAAGACATGTCCAAGACGAAACGGGGTGGTTGTGCTTTTCTTGTTTGTGTTTCTGTGTATTATACGGTACCCGGTACGTATCAGGCATATGTACACATATGCATTTCTACATATGCGTGTTGGTTTGCATTTGGGTGTGCGTGTGCGTGTGCGTGTGCGTGCGCGTGCGCGTGCGCGTGCGCGTGCGCGTGCGCGTGCGGGTGCGGGTGCGGGTGCGGGTGCGGGTGCGGGTGCGGGTGCGTGTGCGTGTGGGTGTGGGTGTGGGTGTGGGTGTGGGTGTGGGTGTGGGTGTGTGTGGGCGTGTGCGTGTGCGTGTGCGTGTGCGTGTGCGTGTGCCTGTGCCTGTGCCTGTGCCTGTGCCTGTGCCTGTGCCCGTGCCTGTGCCTGTGCCTGTGCGCGTGTGCGCGTGTGTGCGTGTGTGCGTGTGTGCGTGTGTGCGTGTGTGGGTGTGTGTGTGTGTGTGACCCGTCCTGGAACACGGACGCAAAACTTTTAGCAGCAGGGGGCGCAGGGAGTTTCAGCGAGTCCTGCGCCAACGAAGACGCTCGCTGTTAACTCGTGATATCCAGCCTGATCAGCTGGACGTACCTGCAACTGCAATTGTGATGTTTGTGAATGTCCTTTTGGTCCCTCTTTCCTGACCCCTTTTGCGGTTTCTGTTTGTCGCTGTTGCTTCTTGTTCGGCGTCGATGTTGTGACCTGTTGATTTGCATTTGCATTCATGCATTTTTACTGACTGCGTTTTTCATCTCGGCTAGTGAAGCCTCTCGAGATAAGTGTGTTTACCCACGGCCTGTCCGACATGGCGCTGTGGGCTGGACTCGCCATATGCGGGAGCCCCCTGCAAGGGGATGACGTTCAAAAGTTCACGTTCAGTTCAACCTCGCAGCCTTTTGAACAAGGCAGCTCTCATGAGGTATCAGGCTCCGGCAGCTTCATTCGCATTGCACTGCCTGCGTTTTGAACAAGGCAGCTCTCATAAGGTATCAGGATCCGGAAGCTTCATGCGCGAGTGACAAGCCGGTCAGACACCGACTTTGCGGTTCATTGATTCACGCACTGCGCTGACTCAGATCAGTTCAATTCACATTCATGTTCAAGTGACACCTTGACTTGATTTGATGCGATGTCTTGCTTTGGCATGCATCGACAAGGCTGCATTTTCAAGGTCCAGGTCTTGACTGAATCAAGCCGTAGCCGCTTTTGTTTCCACCCCCTTTCCAACCCTCTCTCTCCCTCTTGAGATGGCTGGACACCAGCTCTATGACATGATGCATTCGCTCCTGCAAAGCATTGCGGCCGGCACCGTGTCCGGCTCACCTGGCAGCGGTGGACCGAACCTGCAGTTGTCACCCCAGATGATGCAGCCCATGAGCCTCGTACCTTCAACCAACCCACAGACCACGCCCTTTGCACCGTTTTCCA